GTGGGGGATGAGGAGGGTGAGGATCAGAGCTCATCTGGGCCCATTAGCTCATTTGTCAGGAAACCTACGCCCAGGGAAGAAACGGCCATAAGGAGTCCCAAGAGCTCAGAAGCAACAGCAGCCGAGCCAGGACTGGAACCAGGGTCACTTGATTCCCTGTCCTCCTGTGGCCCAGGAGCTTCATGAGGGCGGGGACTAGACTGTCTGGCCTTCCACTGTGTCCCCAGGGTTCAGGACTTCATAGCCCTGCGGTCCACTTGTGTCAGCTGGATGACCATGTTGGCGCTCCTTCTCCCGTGTTCTCAGCCCTGGCGGTAGCCTGATGTGGGGCTCGATCCCAGGACCCTGGGATCATGACCTGAGTTGAAGGCAGACGCTTAATAACTGCCACCCAGGCGCCCCAAGGCAGGAATACTTTTAAAAAAGCTTCCTGGTGAGGGGCTGCTGGGTTGGCGCAGTCGGTTAAGCATCCGATTCTAGGTTTCAGGTCAGGTCGTGGTCTCAGGGTCGTGAGATCGAGCCCCGGTCAAGCTCTGCGCTCAGTGCGGAGTCCGCTTGGGTTTCTCTCTCCCGCTCCCTCCGCCCCGCCCCCCCCCCGCCTCTCAAATAAATAAATCTTTAAAATTTATTTTTTTTAAAGATTTTATTTATTTATTTGACAGAGAGAGAGAATGAGAGATAGAGAGCACGAGAGGGAAGAGGGTCAGAGGGAGAAGGAGACTCCCCAGCGAGCAGGGAGCCCGATGTGGGACTCGATCCCGGGACTCCAGGATCATGACCTGAGCCGAAGGCAGTCACTTAACCAGCTGAGCCACCCAGGCGCCCTCTCAAATAAATAAATCTTAAAAAACAAATCTTCCTGGTGATTCTAACCTGCAGCCAAGTTTGGGAAGCACTCTTCTACCTCATGCCTTCCCTTGGTGCTCTCTAGCTGGGGAGTGAGAGACAGGCTTTAGTAGCTTCCTCTGGGACTTCACGCTGTCACTGGCTGGTTCCCTCTGGCTTATCTTGTCAACCTTTGTGTTCTGCTTAAAGAAGCATGCTGTTGTCTGTCACGGTGTGTGTGCGGGGGGCCATTAATTTCCTCCCTGCTCCTTGGCACCAGGGCACAGGTATCAAAGCCACCCAGAGTGCTGTGCTTGCTCAGGCTGGCCCGTTTCTTAACTGACTGCCTATCTGCCTCTCCCATTAGACTGACCCCTTAAGGTAGGGTCTTAAACATCTCCCTCTCCATCCGCAAGGGCAGTGCATGGCCCATGCCAGGCTCTGCCAGTCTCGAGTAAAGGGCATGGGGACCGTGGGGCTCTACTGTGAGCTCCCTCACAGTAGTCCACACGCTGGCCAGACATACTTTGTCTATCTTCTTGTCCTGTTATCTTCCTTTGAGGAGGGGTGAAAGAGGAGCAGGGACAGCTGTCAGAGAAAAGGACATCCTATAAAATAGGGTTGAGTACTTGGAATTCATTCTCTTGTCTCTCCAGTGGAAGGAGAGTAGCTGCAATTAACATTCACAAAGCATGTTAGGAATTTGAAGCAATAGACAATAATGGCTCTGTGTAGAATGTCAGGATTGATTTTTCTTTCCACCTGAGTGGTATATGCCAACCTGCCTCACTAGCGTGTAGTAATCCAGAAGGCTCATCTCTTATTATTGGTGCATATTATCAGATGAGCTTCCTGCCCACCCAAACCCCCTTCTCTTCTTCCCCTACACCTGGCATGAAGCAACCCTGTGCTGTTCCTTTCTGCCACTGCCTCTGGGCACCTACCCACACCCTTGATTGTTGGGGAGGGAGAGCATTTGGCTATTTTTTCTCCATTCTCACCAAAAGGATGTTGCTGAATGCAAAATGCTAAAGCCAGCCCTCTTTTGCCTTCTGGTGCTGGCGGCTCTGAAGTCACTATATTTAACATCAAAGTGTAGACAGTAGCAAGCAAGAAACCATGCCCCTGGATTGTGAGGCTCCTCCCAGCAGGGCTGCCTGGGATTTCAGGCTGTAGGGGTAGGGGTGGGGGCACCGAGAAACCAAGCCTGAGAGAGCGCGCTTCTTGCTGGCAGGGTCCAGGCAGGCTTCAGGGCACCCCCGGCCTCCACCAGGCGGGAGGCAGCCTTTTCTGAATGGGGAAAATGCCATGGCAACAGCATTAAGCTAGCATACTGTCTTGTACGGAAGGTTTAATGGGAGCTGTGTCTGCCCTGCTGATCCTAGTCCAGCCCAGTCGAGCCCAGCCCTGCCTGGTCTTGCCCCGCTGCCCTGCACAGCCCAGTTCAGCCCTGCCCTGCCCAGTTCAACCCAGCCCTGTCCAGTTCTGCCCTGCCCTGCCCAGTCCTGCCCTGCCCTGCCCAGCCCTGCCCTGCCTTGCTCAGCCCAGTCCAGCCCAGCCCTGCCCCGCCCAGTCCTGCTCTGCCCTGCTTAGCCCAGTCCTGCCCTGTCTAACCCTGCCCTGCCCACCCCTGCCCTGCTCAGCCCAGTCCAGCCCAGCCCTGTCCAGTCCTGTCCTGTCCTGTCCAGTCCTGCCCTGCCCTGCCCTGCCCAGCCCTGCCCTGCTCAGTCCCTGGCCATTAGCATTTCACCAGAGAACTCCCGAAAGGTCAGCTTTTGCAGCCAGGGTCACTGGCGTTTTGATCTTTATCCGTCCCGAGGGCTGGCTGGTGGGAATGACTTGCCCCATAGCTCCCTAGAGCATTGTGTTTCTGCTGTTGCACCAGGATTTATCTTAGGTTTTGACGATTTACGTGACAAAAGAAATGAGATTGAATTTTGCTTCCTCTGGAGTGAGGGAGCCCGCATTGAGTGGCCACAGTTCCAGGGGCAATCAGATACAACTTTGTTCCCATTGCTGGGAATTCTTTTATGAGGAGAGAAAAATCAGAACTGATTTGAGCTCCTTTGTCAGCCTGACTTCCCTCATCTGTTTCAGCCGAGCCAAATACCCATGGTTGTATTTATGTGGCATTTCCAGCAAAATTAAAAGAGAGCAGCATTCTTTTTGGGTTGATTCTTTATAATCAAAACGAGTATATATCTTTTAGCTTGGAAACTCGGAATCCCGGTAATTGAATAGAATGCGCTACCCGGAGGATAAGTTATCATGCCTTTGAACCCCTTCCTGGTATTATTAGAGAAAGGGAGCAGGTGAATATAAGGTTAATGGATTCTGCTGCTAAACCGAACTTGGAAATGAGGTTTCATTGATTTAATATTTCCTCCATTAAGCCTCCCAAGACAGTGTCCCTATGGCCCTACAAAGTGCAGTCACAGACTTTCTTCCTCGTGGGAGTCTGGGCCGCAGCAGGTGTTGTGACAGGGACAGATGACCAGCTCTGAAGGCCCTTGGGCCTTTGTGGAGGGGTGGAAAGCCCGCCACCCGCCGCCTGCAGGCCGAGTGGCTTTATCTTGAGGATGCGCTCTGCGTTTGTGGCCACAGACACTCCCCTGCTGTGTGGGACCTTTTGGGGAGTCGCCTCTTCTGGGAGTGGACACCTTGAAGGGGAGACAGCTGAGTGTGTCAGGGAGCGCGGTGGGCTGGAGACGCGAGCCGTTTCACCCACACACTTAGCCTCTCCGCACCCTGGCTGAAGCCCGGTGCCAAGGGAGCATGCTGCTGGGCCCGTTCCAGAGGCTTCCTCCTGCCTCTCCCCCGAGCCTTCCTATGGCCTCTGCCCTTAGTCTTTGCTTCTCCGGGCGAAGCTGACTGGTGCTTGGAGCCATCCATCCTGGGGGCCTACCCCCCCTCCCCTTCCCACCGTGGCTCTTGTCCCCACCCCCGAAGTGGCTCTCCTGACATGGCCCCTCTTTTCCACACGCATGCCGTGCACGGGGCAGGGGAGCAGTGTCTCTGGGGCCTGTGTGCCTCTGCACAGTCTCCGACATGGGTTCTCATCCCTTCCTCTCCCTCTCCGCACACAGCTCCCTCTTCTTTACAAGGCACTCACCAAATACTACCTCTGTCCCCACCAGCCTGGCACCCTTGTGGACTTTGGTGATGGGCTCCTCCAATCTCCCAGTGCCCTGCCCAGTCTGCTGCATGCCTGGCATTCGCCTGATGCAGGTCCTCCTCGTTTGTGGGGGGGGGTTTGCTTGTTCCAGTGGGTCTAGGGTCTTTGGGTGCTATGGTTGAGGAATAAAGATGGCGGAAAAGTTGGGGATATGCCTTTTTTTTTGGCAAAAAGTAAAACAACGAGGCTTTTAAATGCAGACCGAAGCTGTCGCACAAATGTTTTGAGCAACAGCTATATTTTTGGAGTGTGTTGTCACTGCCTGTAAGTACAGGCTTTGTTTGGATGTGTGAGTTCTGGTATGTTATGTAAAGAACAAGGACACTTCCAGCATGTACGGAGGTCATCTGTTTTATTATTTGAGCACCAGTGCAAGTCTGGGTTGTATGAACAAAATGGTGGCTATGTTCTCCCTCTCATGGAGTACACAGTTGGGATGGGGCAGGGTTAGAATTGGTCTGAGCTACAACCTCAGATCCGAAGTCCAGCTTGGTTAGCAGGTGGGCTGGTGTCATGCAACTCTCTAGGTTTCAGAGGCGGGCAGACCTGACATTGAATGCATGTCAGCCCCAATCCCCTGGTGAGATCCTGGCCAAGTACCCAACCTTTTCGAGCCTGTTTCCTTCCTTCTAAATGCAGGAAGGAATAATACCTACCTTAAGGGGGCTGTGGGGTTTTTTTAATTTAATTTTTGAATATTGTAATTGTGTTACAACACATGTCACGTAAAGATTGCCGTCTTAACCATGTTTTAAGTGTTAAGCACCTTCTTGCTGTCATGCAGCCAATCTCTAGAACTTTTAATCTTGCAAAACTCAGGCCCAGATCCCCCCCCCCTGCCCCGGATGTTCCCTGGTGAAACAGCACCCCTAGAACTGCTCTGTTGGCTCAGCCCATCTGCTTGGGAGGAGAACGTGGTGGTTCTGGGCCCTTCCTGTTTCCTGCCAGGGCCCCCTTATTCTGGGAGAAATGTAAATCCGTCTTCTCTCTGACTTTACAGAAAAGGCAACAGATGGCTCCCTCCAGAGCGAGGACTGGACGTTGAACATGGAGATCTGCGACATTATCAATGAGACAGAGGAAGGGTATGTGTGCCCCCCTGCCAGCCCGCCATATTCCATGAAGCTGGTCAGCTCCTGGAGGGTCACTCAGAGCCTTGTCAGGGCTTAAGGGCGGGGTGTTTTACTTTGTGTTTTGTTTCCAGTCTGTTTGCTTTGGCATTTAATAAACGGATACTCTTCATTATCTTTCCTCTTGCTGCCTGCCCCCCCCCCCCGGCCCCACCATCAGTGACGCCCTCTTTTAATGACCTGCTTTGAATCACCGTGACAATGACGTCTTCCTGGTTACTTGGTCCCCCGTGGTCGTCACCTCCTGCCCTCCTCCCTGGCTCTCTTCTCCTTCACCAACGTGAGGCTCTCTCTGTCCTGCTTCACTGGACTGGAGCCGCAAGAGGGAGAGGTCCGCGTGAGGCACAGAGCGGCGGTGTGTCTGGCAGGGCCTCCTCCCCGCCCCCCATCCCTGCCCTGCCAGGTCGGTTCTTCTGGCTGTTCACTGTGTATCCTCTTCGGCATTCCAGCTACGTTCTGTTTACGCTTCTTCCAGATTGGTGTGTCTTTGGCCCTCTGTCCACACCACACAGAATGGTATTTACCGTAGCCACGCTCTCTCCAGCCATCCCCGAGGGGGACAGACCCAGGGGGACACGTCGGACTTTGGCAGCCCTGGGCTTGCAGCTTGGCACTGGTCCTGCTCTCAGTGAACAGATACTTAGTGAGTGGCTACCTCATGCTGGGCCCTAGTGTGAGTGCCCAGGGCACAGCAGGGAGCAGGACAGACGCCCTGGAAGCCATTACATGTTACGTTACATGGTCAGCTGGTGATGAGTCTGGAGTGAAATGAAGCGAGGGACGGGTGCCTGGGTGGCTCAGTCGTTAAGCATCTGCCTTCAGCTCAGGTCATGATCTCAGGGTCCTGGGGATTGAGTCCCACATTGGGCTCCCTGCTCGGCAGGAAGCCTGCCTCTCCCTCTCCCACTCCCCCTGCTTGTGTTCCTGCTCTCGCTCTGTCTCTCTCTGTCAAATAAATAAATAAATTCTTAAAAAAAAGAAAAAGAAATGAAGCGAGGGAGGGTGAAGGCTGGGACTTAGCATTTTTTTAAAGGTTTTATTTATTTATTTAAAGAGTGTGCACACTTGAGCAGGGGCGGGGGCTGAGGCAGAGGGAGAGGGAGAGAGAATCCCAAGCAGAACTTGCGCTGAGCACAGAGGCTGACTTGGGACTCCGTCTCACATCCTGAGATCATGACCTGAGCCGAAATCAAGAGTCAGCCGCTTAACCGACTGAGTCACCCAGGCGCCCCCGGGAGTCAGCAATTTTAAGTGGAGGAATCAAGGAAAGCCTCACTTGAGAAGGTGACATTGAAGAGCGACTTGAAGGAGATGAGGGGGTGATGTGTGAGGATGACAGCAGAGAAGAACCTTCCAAGCAGAGGGAGCAGCAAGCACAGCAGTCCTGGGACAGAGGGCCGATAGTATGTTTGAGGAATAGCAAGAGGCTCGTGGGGCTAGCGTGGAGAGAGCAAGGAGGGGTCAGACATGTGCCCATCCAAACAGTGCAGGGATTTGAGCAGAGAGGGACATGGTCTAATGCTCATTTTTATTTATTTATTTATTTGAAGATTTTATTTCTTTATTTGACAGAGAGAGACACAGTGAGAGAGGGAACACAAGCAGGGGGAGTGGGAGAGGGAGAAGCAGACTCCCCACTGAGCAGGGAGCCCGATGTGGGGCTTGAATCCCAGGACCCCGAGATCATGACCTGAGCCGAAAGCAGATGCTTTTAATGACTGAGCCACCCAGGCGCCCCTATTTATTTATTTATTTGAGAGAGAGAGAGAGTGAGAGCACGAGCGGGGCTGGGGGGCAGCAAAGGGAGAGGGAGAAGCAGACTCCCCACTGAGTGGGGAGCCTGATGCAGGGCTGGATCCCAGGACTCTGGAATCATGACCCGAACCAAAGGCAGACACCCAACCGACTGAGCCACCCAGGTGCCCCAAGTCTAACGCTCATTTTATTTATTTTGTCTTAAGATTTTATTTACTTATTTGACAGAGAGAGAAGAAGAGCAGGAACACAAGCGGGGGGGGGGGGCGGTGGGAGAGGGAGAAGCAGACGCCCCGCCAAGCAGGGAGCCCAATGCAGGGCTCGATCCCAGGACCCTGGGATCATGACCTGAGCCAAAGGCAGCCACTCAGCGACTGAGCCACCTAGGCGCCCCATCTAACGTTCATTTTAAAGAGATCACTCTGGCTACCGTTATCAGAATGGCCTGGCTGGGGGTGGGAAGGGCAGAGGGCAGAAAGAGGGAAGCGAGTTAGGAGGTGTGGGATGATGGCCATTTTGACATGGACGAAAGTGGGGAGGAGGGAGAAATGCTCAGCTTCAGAGTATATTTAGAAGGTGGAGCCAGTGGGGTGTGCAGAGGTGGATGTGGGCATGAGAGAAGAGTCAGGAAGACGTCAGTGTTCAGGGCTGAGCCACCACAGGGAGGGAGCAGGCTGAGGAGCAGAGATCAGAAGGTCAGCTAAAATCCTTCCGCTCTGAGCTGCCCGCTAGGCCCCAGGTGCAATGCTCCCCGTCCTGGCAGGCATGGCTATGGAGCTGGGGGCAGGGGCCTGCGCTGGAGGCGTAAGTTTGGGCATCTTGGGTCAAAGATGGCATATTGCTGCCTCTAAATATAGGTGGTCAGCTTGGCGCCCAGCACACATCCGGGTCACAGAGTGGTTGGGGGCTGTGCATTTCTGACGCCAGAGTCACGGGCTCCCTTCTTTCTCATGTCCCCCTCTCATGCCCTCCTTTCTCTGGTTGTCCAGCCACATTGGATCCCACAGATGGAGGTGCAGCTGGTTCCAGGATGCCAAGGCTAGTGCTCCCCAGATACTCTTGAGGGGCTCACGTGGTGGGCCCTGGTGGGCTGTGGCCGAGGCATGTGCACATGGCAGCAGACACAGGGCGCAGGCTTTGGGCTGGGCCTCAGTGGGGCAGGAAGAGAAAGCGGAATATAGATAAGAGCATGAAAGGGCAGTGTGTTTGGGGCCACAAACGGTCTGGGCGAGCAGGGAGAGTGGGGAAGTGTGAGAGCCGGGCTTTCTCCTTCCAGGGCCTAGGAGGTGGGTCACCTTCCTTTCCCAACACTCAGTTTGCCTTCCTCCTAAAGTGGCCCACACTTAGTCCTGCAGTTCTGAGCGAGAGCATCTCAGGGATGTGCGGCGATTTTCTGTCTTAGCCTCCACAGTGAGGTGATCTGTCAAATCTCTTCCTACGCGGGAGCAAAGCTCTGAAGTTCAGCTAACGGTTGGGCGCCCATTCAGCTCCTTCCTGCTTCAGGGCTTCGGTCCCCGTGTTCCTTCTGTTTCCCTCTCGCCTCTCCCTTTCACCGATCAGTTCTGTCTTTCACTGGAGCTCAGTTTGAAGTCCATTTCCCTGACATCCCTCTCTTCCTGATCTGGACGAGTCCCCCGTATGTGATTTCACAGTACCCTGTATGATACCAGGCCCATCACAGTGTAAATGTACATGTCTGTGTGATGTTCGTTAGAATGGCTGTCTCCCCTGCAGGCCCCCCTTGACCGTCCGCTCCATGAGGGCAGAATTCTGTCTCACGTGCCATTTTATGCCAACACCTAGCACAGCATATGTATAATTGACTCTTGACAAGCATTTCGTAAATAAGAATAAATGGATGGAGTCCCTAACAGGCTCCGTCTGATGGGGAATGCAGGGTATAACCGTAACACGCATGCCAAGAGATGCTGTCTCTTAACTGAGCGAGACCAGAGCAAAGGCTGCTTGGAGGAGGTGACACCCAAGTGGAGGCTTGCAGCAATAGGAGGGCATCCGCCTGGTGAGGTGGGTGGATGGCAGGCAGGAAGTCGGACACCCGGGCTGGTGGGCAGGAGTGGGAAGGGGGGTGTCTTGGGATTAGGGGTGTGGAGCCTGGAGCCACCTCCCTGGGCTGGAATTCTAGGCCCTCCACTCCCTTGCCATGTGTCCCTATGTCTCGGTGTCCTCATTTACAAAGTGTGGGTACCAGTAGTGCCTATCACATAGGCTTGTTAGAAGGTTCAAAGGAGTAAATATTATGAAGTCTCTGCCTATGTATGGATCCACATCTGTGCTCTGCATAGGGGTGTGCTCTTTCTCCATTAACGACCTGCACGTTAAAGACTTAACACGGCACGGGACGTCCTCCACCACTTTCATCTGCAGTGTCATCTGGCCAGTCCTGGGTCGTGATCCCTGTGGGTTGACTGCCCTGCCCTTGTCTGCCGTGCTCTGAGCGCTTGCCATCTGTATGCCAGGCCACCATGCGAGCCCCGGATTGCACCAGCTCATGCGGCGCCCCAAGACAACCCTAGAAGGCAGGGGCAGCCCGTGTTGAGGAAACTGAGGTCCAGAGTGGTTTGGTCACTTGCCAGAGGTCTTTACAGCATGGTTGAAAAGGGCAGAGGCAGGATGCAAGCCCACGCTGACCTGGCTCCAGCTGCCAAAACTCTGCCTACACTTACTTATTCAGAGCTTCACCTCTGGGGGGTTGTGGTCCTGGTGGGTGCAGATTGGGTGAACTGCCCCAAAGGCCCCTCCTTGGGCTTTCCCTAAAGTGTCCAAGGCTGAGATGCTCTCCATCGTAAGTCCCTGTGGGGCAGTCCCTCGTCTCCTGAATCGTGGGTCATTAGCCAGGAGTGCCTGGCTCAAGAACCTACCTGGGAATGTTATAGGCCCTGTTTACCAGGCCTTGCCCAGGCCTACCTAGTTCGGGCCCAGGTGTGTGGATTGGGTATGTGCTCCCCAGGTGACTCTGATGTGTCTCTCTGAGAAGGATCCGCTAACCTGGATCAATTTCATGACCCTGTCTGGACCTTCCCTTGCTCAGGGAGTCTGTGGGCCCCAGCCTCTAAGCCCAGAGTGAGCAGGGAGGAGTAAGCATGCAGCTGAGAAGAGGGGGAGGGAGGGAGGCCGGGAGGGAGAGGAAGAGTCCCCGGGGGGGGGGGGGGGCGCGAGGTGTAGCCGTGTCCTCCTGGGAGGGAATAGGGAGAAAGCGGCTCCAGAGCAGGATTTCTGGAGCCAGAGGACGAGATGAGTTCAAGTGTGACTAGAAAGAAGGGTTCTTATGAGCCTGGGGTGGAGGAGACCTTGGGGAGGCCGAAGATGGCCCAGAGGCCAGATCCTGAGGCCCTGGGTGCTGACCTTCCTGCTGCAAGCTGCCAGGGCGGCGGGGCGTCTCACGGTGGTGGTTGGGGGGGGGCTCCCCTCCTGCTCCTCTCCCCTGCTCCATCTTGGCTCTTGACTCTTTCTTCTCTCCTTTTTCCCTGATTCCAGCCCCTTGCTGTCTAATCTGCAGCGGCTGCTTGAAACTTTGCAATTCCTCTGACATGACTTTGATCCTCCAGTTCTGAAGCTTCTCCCCCGGGGAGAGAGATAAATACTTGCTTTTGTGCTCACCCAGTCACTCTGAGGCAGTACTTCCCGCCACGGATGAATTTCCATTTTAACTCTAACCCAGGAGCCTGCTGACTCTCTGATTTTTCCACCACCACCATCACCCCCACACTGGGAGAACTCTGTGTGCGCTCTGCTCTGTGAGCTCTAAGTGATCGTGGCCCTTGGAGGCTGTTCTCATTTTTCTGCTCCGTACAAGTTCAAGAGGAGAGGGATGAAGCTGGCTCGAGGAGGATCGCAGCCGTGGGTCAGGGCTGACTGTGGCTTGGCAGAGCCTTGGAGAGAGAGGAAATCAATCCACGCTCCTGGCCAGCAGCCACTGACCTTCACCAGCTCAAGTCCACAAACAGTCCTCAAAGCCAGGAGCTTGTCGAGTCCCATATTTGCAGAAACCAGCATCCCTGTTTGGAAACTGCAGCCATGCTGCAAACACACTTGGCAGGGACCCATTCCCCAGAGAGCCTCATCCCATCAGCCTTTGGGCTCAGGAGCCAAGAATTCCTGCAGGCAGCCACGTTTCAAGTTGGGAATAGGAAATAGGTGACTCAGGGCGTTTTCAAATCTCTTCTAGAAGCCTTGGCTGGCTCCTGTGTATTTCTGACTACATAGGGCTGATTAGCAGACCTTCTACCGTCCCTTCCCCCAGCTGCCTCACACATATTTGAAAGGGCTTTTTCCTTTGGTAAAGAGATCATAAATGTTTCAGAGCTGTAGGAATAGGAGGAGGTCCCTGACTTACACACCTTCACCTTTCGAAATACCCAGATATTCTGACACGTTGATCAGGGGAAGGCTGGAGCCCACTTGTGATAGCAAAAGGCCAATCTACAGGCGGACTGGGGACTCTCAGGAGTGCAGGTGATGGGGCGTCTGGGGGCGGGCTTCATGCTAGAGGTAGCCGTGAGTCCCGCAGCTTTGTTGGATCCTGGCTTAGAGTAAACGAAATAACTTGTTAGACTCAAGGGCTGCACCTTTGAGCTGCTTCTAGAGGGCTGGCTGGGGACCCTCACTCCCAGCTCTTAACTGTGATTTAAGGAAGAACGTGTTCCAGGTTCCAAACAATCAGCTTATGATCATGCCTCTGGGAAACCTAAAAACACACAATTCTTTGGGTTTTGAGGAGACTTCAGTTTTCTTCCTTCCTTCCTTCCTTCCTTTCTTCCTTCCTTCCTTCCTTCCTTCCTTCCTTCCTTCCTTCCTTCCTTCCTTCCTTCCTTCCTTCCTTCCTTCCTTTCTTTCTTTCTTTCTTTCT